CAAAATCAAGAGAAAACATTTTTCTGAAATAATCGAAGGTGAATTAGTTATTGAAAACTTTCCTAATTTACAAAAAATAAATGTTAGTTCTTTTCGGCAAGGTAAGTTAACCAAACTAAAAATAGTCAATTGCCCTCAACTTCTTAAACTAAATTGTGAAAATAATCAATTAGAAGAGTTAGATGTTGATGAAGTTAGTAGACAACAATTACAAAAGGTTAATTCAGAAGAAACCAATCAATTACCTAAAGCAAAAAGTAATAATGCCCAAACCTGACTAGACCAAAATTATCCTGATAAGGGATGAGGAACAAAAAGTATCTACCTCAACCAACAATTAGCAGGAGTGCTGGATTGTTCAGAGTATAAAGACTTACGATATATATTTATCTCTAACTCAGTTGATAGTAGTAAATTGGAGATAAAAGGAGGGTCTTATTATTATGGAGAAGAAAAAACCAAAATAATCCCTTGTCAATCTGCTCAAACTTATCTTCAACAAAACTACCCCCCAAATGGAACTTGTCAAAGAAAGAATGAGAGTTATGATAATTTAAATACTACTGACAATATTGACAACTTTGGCAAAACCCGAGCCGAAATAACAAAGTTAGATATAAAGGAAAAAGGCTTAGAAGGAAACTGCGACTTAACTGATTTTAAGAATTTAGAGAGATTATATTGCTCTACTAATTGCCTCACTAATCTCAATTTAACTAATTGTCAGCAATTAAAGAAAATTGAATGCTATGATAACCAACTTACTACTCTTGATTTAAGTAATTGCCAACAGTTAGAGAAACTTTGATTAATAATTACCTCACTCAAATAATTTATCCAACTAATCTGGAAAAAATAACTTTTTTAGACATAAGAAATAACAATTTCCCTACTGCTGACCTGACTATTTTTAGTCAGTTGAGGAATTTATGATATTTAAATATTGGTAATGATGATAAAACCAAAATCAGCCAAAATATTTATAATCGTTGAGAGGGTAGTTGTCAACCTTTAAAAGATTTGAATGAGTTAGAAAGATTAGAGATTCAAAATACTGATATAGATAGAGGTTTGGAATATCTTCCAAAGAGCATTACAACTCTTTATTGTTCATTTGCTGAAAGACCCAAAAGCAGAGTTGGTGATATTTGAGAAGAATTACAACCTTATGGTGGCGATTTAGAAAATTGACAAAAAGTCAAATTGGATAAACAATTATCTTTAACTATTTCTCCTTTATTACCACCTCAACTAATCGACAAAATCAAAAAAGGAAATAAATTTAGAGAAAATTACGGCATACCCAACACTAACTATAATGAAATACATTTTAATCAGTGAGCAGAAATTAAAAAAGATGAGCCATTACTAAAAGAACTACCAACTAAACTTTATAACATCAAGAAAAATGAGGCAGGAGAGGTAGAAAATACTGAAAACCAAAAAGGTAAGTATGCTATTCTTTCCTATGTTTGAGGAAACCCAAACATGAAAGTTAATGAAGAAATTATTGAAAAATATGGATTAAAAACTAAAAAAAGATTAAATATTTCAGGTAATAAGGCTTTATACAAAGCTATTAAGGCTTGTAAGAAATTAGATACTAATTATTTATGAATAGACCAATTATGTATTAACCAAAACAACCCTGATGAAAAATCCCGAGAAGTATCCAAAATGAGACAATACTATTCCAATGCTGATTATACTTTAATTTCTATAAATACTGAACTAGGGGACATTAGTGATGTTGATTTAATGGATATTCTAAAAGTCATAGTTCGTTCGGAATGGTTCACCCGTTCTTGAACTTATCAAGAAGGCTGACTATCTAAACATACTATTTTCATGTTTGATGACAAACTGATTGATGGTTGAGCTATGGCTGGAACTTGGGCTTTAAATCAGTTAAGATATACAGGAATAGGATATGAAAGTAGAAGAGAATTTGATAAAGGAACCAAAAAAATTGCTACTCCTGTGGGTTGAACTTATTTTAGAGATGGTTATGACAAAAATGATAAAGTAAAAATGACTTTAAGCCAAGCATTAAAAGAGATTAAACATAGGGGTAGAGGAATTCCAGTAGATGGCATTTATTCTATTTTAGGTTTATTGCCTTATGGAGAAAAAGTAAAAGTTAGTTATAAAGGCAATTTATGTAAAGAGTGTAAAGAAAAAGAAACTGAACAAAAGGAAAGTGTAGTTTGTAAAGATTCTAATAAAACTGAATGACCTACTTACTTTAAAGAGGATTTGGAGAAAGTTTTATATGAAGTGATGGAAAAAGCATCATGAAAGGGAAAGTGTGTTGAAGCAATTTCTTGGCATGGTCAAGGTGATAACTGTTGAATGCCACAAATAGATAAATATGGTTCAACTAGTGTAGAAGGAGGTATAGAGGTTAAAGGATGAAGTTTATCTTTTAACAATGAAAATATTTCATTATTCGCCACTATCTATCAAATCTTAAAAACTGATAAAAACATTTACAAAAGAGAAAGTGGTTTTGAAATTGTAGGAGGTTTATATGAAAGAAAGGTTGAAGTTAAACAAGGAAACGAAACAATTGAACTAACTCTTTTGGGAACAAAAAGCACCATGGAATTGATTAAGGAAGATAAGTTTTTGGCAATGCCTAGAAAATATACATTCAAAAGTCTTAAACCTTTTGGACTGTTGTTAAGAGATGGTGAAAAAAAAGAACATGATTCATCTATTTACCACCGTTTAGGTTTAGTAGAATTAGGAGCAGGCAGTGAAAAGTTGAAAGAAAATGTTAAAAGTATAGCAATTCCTAACCAAGTCCAAATAGAAATCCCCCCTAAACAAAACTAATCACTAACCAGAACAGTTTTGTTTCCAAAAGTGGAAATTAGTTTTTTGTAGAGTAATATTAGATGCCAAATTATCGGTGGCTCAACGATAACAAAATAAAGAAATTTTGTAGAATAAAATCAAAATCAAAGTAAATAAATGTATAAAAAAATGACAAAAAATAATGGAATGCCTATTGAGGTAAACAAAAAATCTTTTGAAGCGGTTCAAGAATTAAAAGACGAATATCAAGTACCATCGTTTGAGGAATTTATGAAAACTTATGAGAATGATGAAGGAGTAATTGAGGGTTATGAGAATGAAATTAAAAGTTATGGAGATATAGGAGTAAATAGAAGTTATGGTCCGGGAAGCAACCAAAGCAGCTATAGTGATAACAGCGACCAAGCGAGAACAGCAAGGCATACCGTAAAAGTTGCGGTTGGTGTAGCATCAAACGTAGCTTCAAAAGTAGCAGGTCCTGCGGCTCCAATGATTACCGGAGCCGTTACGAGTGTAGTAGGGGAAATAGGTCATGCTTTAAGTTCGGACAGTGATTTTAAAGATGCTTGAAAATATACCAGCGAGTTGGGTCAAGGTATGGTGGTAGGAGCCGGAACAGGAAAGTTAATAGATACACATGTGACACCACTTTTTCAAGGTTCTAATTGTCTTTTATTAAGAGACGGATGGGAAATGTGGCAAGAATTTCAAGAAAAAGGTGGTTGAGATCGATCAATGATGCAGTTTCATGAATTTCATCTTGCGAAGGGAGAAAGTTATAATAGTTATTGTGATGTGTGCAAGTCTTAATTAATACTGCAAAAGGAGTGAGAGGAGGGAATTTTGCTTCCTCTTGCACTTTTTTAAAAATAATAGTAAGAGCTGTTCTTTTTTTCATAATTATCTACTCGTTATTTTTAATATTTGGTTTCGAAGTTATTCTCCTATCAGCAGTGTTGTTAACGGGAAGGTCGCCATGAAGGCAATTGCTAAGTCTTGTTTTTTTTGTTCTTTGTTTCTGTTGAATATCATGTGGGACGGAGTTTTTTCTTAATCGGCGTTCAAGGAATTTTTTTATTTCTCTAATTGGTGATTTGTTGGGAGGTTTTTTTCTCTTTCTGTGCTTATTTTCTCTTTGTTTTTTTGTCAGCATTGATATCAAAAGATAGGCAAGAAAAAAAACTAATTCTAATATCTCGCACCAATAACCAAGTCCCCTTTGAAAAGAGGAGAAAATTAGACTTTTAAGCCAAAAATAAACTTTAAAAATCAGTGTTAAACTGCTTAAATTAGCAAAAAAAATCTAAAAAAATAAGAAATTTAATAATAATATGCCAAAATTAAATTCATATTTAATACCAAAAGAAAACTTAGCGAAAGTAGAGGAAGTTAGAGAAATAGAAAATCAAGGACAAATAACGCCTGAGGAACAGGCAAATTTAACAGTTAAAAACGAATATCCTTCTTATGAGGAATTTATGAAAACTTATCAGGAGGACGAGAAAGTAATTGATAACCATTATTATGAAATAGACAGTTATGGTGATATTAGAGTAGTTAGGTGTTATGGACCGGGGAATAATCTAATCAAAGTAGTGAAGAATCAGAAAAGTTAGCAAAATACATGGGGAAAAAGCTAATAGCAAAAGGTGTTAGTTTGACTATTGGTCCGCTAGCTATTCCGCTCGGAGTACAACTTAAACAAATGAGTAATCCTCCAGCACTGGCTTTACCAACAGCTGCCCTAACAGTTTCAGAAAAACAAGAAAAAGGTGGGTTTTTAAAATGAATGGATGAATTAGGTAGTGAATTGGTGGAGAGTGGAGTAGGGGACGCCGCAGGAGAATTAATCAATGATATCGGTTTGGGGATAGAAAGCGAAACCACAAAAAAGGTTTAAAGTATTATTGATAATGCTCATGAAGCATATGGGGAAGTTAGTGATACCGAAACACATTTAGCCATAGTTATTAATCACTGCATCCATGTGCGAGGAGGAAAAAAATTTGACCCTAATTTAAAATATGTAAGGAATAGAAAGTAAAAGGGGAATCAATCAAGAAATTATTTCCTATGATAAGAAAAAAAAAAATAATAGTAATAAGATTAATTCTTTTTTCACTAATGCTTTTTTTGATATGATTAACCATTGGCTCGGAGGCTATTTCATTAGTGTTAAATCGTTCTTTGACAAAAAGTCGTTCCGCAGTAATGTTGTTTCTATTGCTTCTTGTTCTCGTAGGGATTATTTGGGTAATTGCAGGAATGGAGCTTTTTGACCAAAAATTTAAAAATATTTGAAGTGAATTACTGGGTTATTTCTTTTTTTTACTTGTTATTTTTGGGTGTTTTTGGTTATTGTTTTTTACTTCTTATGCTATTTATAAAAACAAGAAATTTGCATTAAAAATCGTTAATAATTATTATGAGAGAGAAAATGATATGAAGTCTTGAGCCATCAGATTAATTTACACTTTTCAAAAAAAATTAAAAAAAAATTTCCTCTTCTTGAAAAAATAATTTTATTTCCCTTTCTGCTGCTTGGGGACTATCGGAACCATGAACTGCATTAGCGTTGTCAATACTTTCGCCATAAGTTCTTCTAATGGTTCCCACTTTGGCTTCTTGGGGGTCAGTGGCTCCCATAATTTCCCGATTAAGTTTGATGGCATTTTCTCCCTTCAAACAAATTACTACTACGGGTGAACTGCACATAAATTCGGTCATTCCTTTAAAAAATGATTTGGTATTATGCTCCTGATAAAAAGTTTCGGCTAATTGAGGAGTTAAACGAATCATTTTCATTCCGACTATGCTTAGTCCCCTTTTTTCAAAAACATTAATAATTTCACCAATTTGATTTTTTTTGGTAACATCTGGTTTGATGATGGAAAGAGTTCTTTCAATATTCATATAATTATTTTTAGTCAACTCCGAGAGTTTGGGAAAGAAAAAGAGCAAGATTATCGAATAGTTTGCCGGTGAGGAAAAAAACACTTATATCATGGCAGAGATTAAGAAATGTAGTAAATGCCAAAAAGAAATAACTTTGGGTAAATTCTATAATTTTTTTACCGGCAAAAAAGGAGGGAGGAGAATTAACAAATACGATTTATTAAATTACGATAATTTTTTTTGTCCTTCTTGCGCTGATAAGGAAAAAGCAAATCCGCAATGAAATGTTGAAGCTGAAAATTTACTGAAAGTCGAGTGAGAGGTAGGAAACCAAGTTGATGAAGAGATTTTGGAATTTGAGGAAAAATGACTTAGATATTACTTGCAAAATGAATTTATCAAAGAAGATGTTGACACTAATGAAAACCACACTAACCTAATAAATGCTTATCAAAAAGCGTTAAATGATAAAGTCAGAGCCGAACAACAAGCTAATTATTACCAAGTCCAATTAAAAACTATTGCTAAAAGTCTTTATCAATGACAAAAAATTAATCATTATCAACAATTGGAACAAGAGCGAAAAGAACAGTAAGTCCAAATAGTCCAACCGTCACCCTGAAAATTAGGCGAATAGTAAAGTAAAAATATATCCTCTATATGTGGTAGCTTCTAGTTTTGACCAGCGTGCCAAACTGTTCGGTGCGACCATTTTTGCGTCAACTTCTTTCTAATTCCCTAATCCTTTCTCTTGGAATTTCTAGTAAATCACCATCAAATTAAAGTTAAAATTAAAACTTGCTATTTAAAATAACTTTCTGGTTCAAAATCGAATTTAATTCCCGCCTTTGAAAATCCTGATTTTATAGCGAGCAGGCGACCTCTACAATTATAGCATTTATTGATCTCTTTTTCTCAAACAGCTAACCAATATAACACTCTTCACCGAGCAATTTCAAGGTTTTCTTCGCTGCTTTTTAATTTGTTTCACTCTTTATCAATAAATTGCTCAAAAAATTTACAATGAAGTTTTTTATTATCTACTATCATATTGTTTTCCATAGAGTTTTGCACTATCTATTAGACCTTTAAATGTTTGACAATCTAACCTTCACAAATTTGCTTGAAGTATTAACCCATGAGGAGGTAATTCTTTATTAACTTTCAAATCGAAAACCACCCTTTCATATAAAGCAATTGGTCTGATTTCTTTGCCCGCTTTTTTTAAACGAATAATTTCTAATCCGGCTAGTGCATGGACGTCTTTTCAGACATTAGCATAATCTTTGTTTAGCAAACGGGCTAACTCAGTTAAATTAGCCGGCTTTTTTTCTACTAAACAAGTAAAAATTTCTCGACGACTAGGAGTAATACAACGGTAAATGGCTTCTAAACTGTTACTCACTAGAACATTTTTAGGCTGAATATTGGGCTTT